TCGGAGTGAGATGTAATTTCATTCTTCATTCAGACTATTGGATTTGGTTAGTGCCGTCGTGGTTAGTAGAACCGTCGAGTTTTGAGGGAAATCCCGAAACAGATCGATTTTTGTTATTAAATACCCATCTTATCGACACCGCATTTGAATGAGAATTTAATTCTCTATTTAACAACATTACATTTTTAACTAATATATTATTTTAAGGGTACAAAAACAATTTTTTTTTAATTCAAATTCAACTAAATTACAACTAATGATTTAATTCATAATGTACTTTAAAGTAACCAAATTTTGCATAACAATTATTTTAAATTAAATGTCCGAAATACCATCCATCGGTTCCTGCCATCACTTTCTGAAGTAAATAGCAAAATAAGCAAAAATAAGTTAAAATAGTAATGGACACAAAAAGTTATCTCATAAATACTAAAACTTTTTGTCAAATGGTAATTCAAGCAAGTGATAGTGGCACAGTTACTGTAATATTTATTGACGTAAATGTTTTGATTTTGTGAATTCTCATCAGTTGTCAATTGTAATTTTTACTTTTGAATACTACATTATGGCTCACCTAAATGAAACACAACGCATAGAAATATTATTTCTTAGAGGATGCGGACATAAAAAACACAGAACGAGGTATGCAATTTATTCAACGCAAAATATCCAGACAAACCCATCAGCCAATCAACAGTAAGTAAAATAGTCCGAAAATTTGGAAAAACTGGCCACGTTAAACATATTCCAAACGCTGGGCGTCCTAAAATTGAAGGCAATGTGAAACATTGCCTTCAATTTTAGGACGCCCAGCGTTTGGAATTTTATTAAATCTACATGACAATCCTCACAGTAGTTCAACTAAAATGGGTGAATATGCTGGAGTTTCCCAACGATCGGTATTACGTATTTTAAAAAAAGAACGACGATCCCGATCGCCGGCTTCAATTTTCTTAAATTATGCAGGATTTATGTATCCGCAATCCACATTTCATCAATCAAATCCTTTTTTCCGATGAAGCCACATTTTTTATACATGTTACCGTGAATCAATCATTGGAGTCAAGAAAACTCACATTGGATGACCAAGTCACACCCGCAATATCCTCAGAAAGTAAATGTATGGGCAGGAATCATTAATGACAGAATCATTGGACCTTTTTTTCTTTGAATAAAATCTAACAGGAGAACGTTATTTAACTTTTTTAAGGAATCAACTTATACCTGTTCTTGCTCACATGTATCCAAATGCCAATAATCCAAATTTACCTAGTGAAAATATCTGGTTTCAACAAGATGGAGCCCCTTCGCATTACGCACGTGAAGTACGTGAATTTTTAAATCATTGCTTTACGGAAGTAAGAGGATCGGAAGACGAAGTTTTATAGAGTGGCTAGCAAGGTCGCCAGATCTAACACCTCTAGACATTTTCCTGTGGGGTTACATAAAATTAAAAGTTTATGTCAATAGACTCCAAAACTTACAGGACTTGAAAGATAGAATTAGGCATGAAATGAGTCTAATTACTCCAGAACTCATTCGCAATGTACTTGATGAATGGGTCCGTAGATTCGCATATTGTCAAGAAACCCATGGATGGCATTTCGAACATTTAATTTAAAATAATTATTATGCATAATTTGGTTACTTTAAAGTACATGATTAATTAAATCATTAGTTGTAATTTAGTTGAATTTAAATTAAAAAAAAAATTGTTTTTGTACCCTTAAAAAATGTTTGTATTTTGAGAACGATTTCCGAAGTGGAAATTGAAACGTCAATAAACATATTTTTATCTTTAATTGTGGCTTATTCCCAGTTTAATAGTAATTAATTTACAATGCCACAAGAAAATAGCTTCAGAACAATATAAAAATGTAATGTCGTTAAAAGGAGAATTAAATTCTCCTTCAAATGAGGTGTCGCATTATACCGATTTCTATTTAAAAAAATTAACGATTACGTCACTACACCCACACCGGTGACGTCATCCCTACTCCATATACATTATAAGATGGGTATTTAATAACCAAAATCGACCTGTTTCGGTATTTCCCTCAAAACTCGACGGTCTTCGAAATAATAATAATATTCCATAATTTAGCCGTTTACTGTATGTTGTTGGCAACATCACAAGCTTTGGTCACTTTTTCATGCAAATTTCTCATATGGATAGTTAGCGATTCTTGTTTCTTTTCTTTTTTCATAAACTGTTATACACTGTGAATAATTTCTCGGCCTTGACTATGACTAACTTTTCTGGAACTACTCATGTCTCTAGATGTTTGCTATAACAACATATATTAAAAATTAGTTAACAAAAAAATTATTCAGTAAAGCTATAATTTTTTGAATCAGATTTTATATACCATTAAAATCACCATTTTTATTATTAAAGTTAACAAAATAACGTAAATCAAATTTTTTTAAAAATGTTATAAAATAAATACATACCTTTCTTTCCAATCAATTATTTCACTGCACAACATATTTTCAAAAGTTATTGTCTATAAAAGTCACCAAATTAACAATTAAAACTAAAAACTATAATAATTAATTACAAAATAAACAAATTATACTGCACTATTAAAAGATTTGGAGTAGAAATTTAACGGCTGAAACTTTTAGGATGATTAGTACAACTTATTTCATAACTAAAATTATGTTCTGCGTCGATGTGACTCATAGCTCTTTAGAAAATCCATTGCCTCTACCTATAATCTCTGTTTTCGCCTTCTTGATATTTATTTCAAATTTATTTTCGAAGATCTTGAATGTTATCCACTGCTGCTATCGCTGTGTCTTCGGCTAATGTTAATAAATATATTGCTTACTTACCCTTATTCTGCCACTGCTTCTGCGAATGTTTTCTGTACGTAGTTACAGAAGTTACAAGTTAAACAAAATTGGACAAAGTATACAACCTTGCCTTACTCTCTTTTTTATTGAGAAATCTTGCGTTTCATTGAAATTTTGAAGACGTATTGTTGCTTTCTGTTTCCAATACAGATTGGCGATAACTCATATCTTTGGTATCCAATCCCAAAGCCCAGTGAATTGTTTTTTGTTGATCCCAGTAATTTTCTTAATTTTCTTATGGAGATTAAAGCTGGCCCTGAGTTTATATAGGTTTTCAGCTTCGGTGTAAAGTGTAGTCATCCAGATCTTCTTCTTCTTCTTCTGCTTCTTCACTGGCTTAACAACTCGGGGTGAGTCTTTCCGCATCCACTATCACCCTCCATCCTCTACGATCTTGCGCTTCTTTTTCCCATTGTTGTACCCCAATTCTAGATAAATCGGCTTCAACATCATCCTTCCATCTTTTTCTCGGTCGACCTACTGATCTTCTACCATCTGGTCTTTCAAAAAAACACTGTTTTTAACACTCTGTCATCCTCTGATCGTACCACGTGACCTGCCCATCTTATTCGGTTTGCCTTGATATGTCTAACTATGTTTTCAGTTCCATACAGAGTCACCAATTCAGCATTGTCGCGTCTTCTCCAATCCCCTGTGAATTTATCTCTTGAAGGCTAAATATTCTGAGAACCTTTCTTTCAAATACTAGAAGGTTATTAATTTCCCGCTGGTTGAGAGTCCATGTTTGTAAAGTGTTCATTTAGATTTTCTTTTTAGCAGCTTCGATCTTAATAATGTTGAAAGGGAGTAAAGCTCTATTTCCCGCAGCTATCCTTGCTGAGACCTCTTTTTCTATGTGGTTGTTAGCTATGATTATCGCTCCCAGGTATTTAAACTTCTTTACTACTTCGTTGTAACTAAGTTGTGATCAATAATACTGATGTTCTGCCTAACTATTGGTCTTGGATTTTTGGTTACTACCATGTATTTTGCCTTTTCTTCATTAATTCTAGACACAGATTACCTGTTTCCTCCTCGAGCTGTGCAAACTCCTCTCTCGCGTCTCTTGTAGAATGTGTGACTACATCTATATCATCCGCAAAGGCCAGCAACAGTTTTGATTCTTGATCAGCAAATCCTCCTATCAGCTAAGACGATATTTTTTATTGCATATTCTAAAACAAAATTGAACAGCAATGGTGACAAGGGATCCCCTTGCCTAAGTCCTGAATTTATACCAAATAGATCTCCTTCGCCGCTATAATTTATTGACGAATTTTGCTGTGTACATTTCGGTACCCTAATTGGTCCTGCCTAATCTTATGCTGCGTACGTTGTTTCATCATCTCAATATTTCTTCTGTCATCCACTTATTCTTGGTAGTTTATTAACACGCATGTTTTATTTTGAAGAAGAAAAGTTTTGACTTATTTGAGAAGTTTAATATTTTGCTCTAGTAATTGTTACAAATAATTATAATTATTAAAGACGGGAACATGGCTTTTAAAGAAACTTCTAATGAATTTAATTATTTTTTCGATCTAACTACGTCTTTCGGTTTAGTTATACGTATTAATGAATATAAGAGTCACAGCTAAATTAACAACTTGGTTGGATAATAATTTAACAAACATGGGCAGTGATATAGTTGGCTGCGGCTTTTTAGATACCTGCATTGCCGACTATCTTAAGTTTCCCAACTTAAAAATAAAGTAGGCACAGAGTTAAGGTGGCAAGATTGGACACCATAATGTTAAAATAGTTTTTATATAATGTTACCTGGTCTTTACTTAACAATCCGGAAACAGCAACAAAATAGACAAAAAAATAGAAATTAATTTTCCCATAAAAATCACGTAATCATCAATTCTCATCTTATCAATTTTCTGATTTGACCATGAATTAAGAAAAGAAAATCTTCCCATAATAAAAATAATTGCTGACGTTACAAGGGGCTACAATGTATATAAAAAGTTTAAAAAGCAGTCTCAACATTTTCGCATTTGTTAACTCTTAATAATATTAGTTCGTATTAAGACTTTTCGAACATGGTGTATACTAATACAACTCACCTGTAAAGTTTCTCCCCAATAAGTAGAAACAGCATATTGAAAAAGCTAACCACTTTTGATCTAATCTAGGTGCACGCACATTCCCAGCTCAATCGTTTCCCCCGGACGGAACTACGTTTTCCCAAATATCGTTGGGGCAAAGACTGTCGAAGGAAATCCCAGCATATGGTTACTGGAATATGCAGTTTTATCAATCGGAAGCGGCCTACGTCCAGTTTGACTACAGTATACCAAGAGGCGCTAGCATAGGGGTCTACGCACGAAGAAACGCCCTACCGACCCACACGCAATACCATATTTTGGAAGTACTCAGCGGATTCAAAGCTAGGACTACCAGAGCATCACATGTAAGTTTATCACATATTCTCTAGCTGGCTGTCCCATTGGGATCTCAATTTTTATATCCTTAATCGTGGATTTATCTACGATACGGATATTTATTCAATAATTCGTTGCACCTTCATACTTTGAGTTGTCAAATTATCCATACCGGAGATTCTTTTGTAATACCGATGTATTTTGCTCTGAATATGATCACAATCATTTTAAAATCAGCCCTACCTCAGATACTTCGGACACATCGAGAAAAGTGGGAGGTTTAAACATATAGGAATATCTCTTACACGTGAGGTAGATCAAGTCAGAGGCTTTATTGATTATATGGTCTATAGGAATCTTCTCTAGCAGCTTAATCTAGAAAAGTAAGGAAAACCACGACTTGGGCGATACTTTGTCGAGAGTAAACAGACAAAAGAAGAAATCTTGTCTATGTAATATTTGTTATCATACTTTATTTCCACATAATTCTCTCTATTTACGTATACTTTTCTTGATACATTATTCCATATAGGATATTATATAGAACATTTCTTTTATTTTCTTTTTCTAGCAGTCAACAGTCAAAAAGGAAGTAACGCATTACATGGAACAAGGCCACTGGTTTCTCTCTCTTTATAACGATGATGGAGACCCACAAGAAGTGACGTTTGTCGCTATAGTGGCAGATGACATGACCCATAACTGTCCGAACGGTTGTAGCGGCAAAGGAGAATGTTTGATGGGGCATTGCCAATGTAATCCCGGATTTGGAGGAGACGACTGTAGTGAGAGTAAGTTAAATTTTTATTTTTACCAAATTAAGATACTTTCATTTCTTTGTACAAGCTACTAACCATAGTCTAGTTGTTTGTTTAGAGAAGGTAGTACTGCCAAAACGAATCAAAACTGAACTGGACTTAACTTACATTTGTAGCAAATTTGCTTTCAATTTTGAACCAAAATTACGGAACCATTTCTCGTATAAAAAATGGCATTATTACCTTACCTCTAAGGGCGAGCGCCCACCAAAGTGGCGTGGCAAGTAGCACGTAGCAAGTAGCACGCGTCTAGCATGTTTCTTAAAATGTAACCAATGAAAACAAATGATTAGAATGAATGACGTCACTGTCATTTTGGTGTACGCTGAATCATTCGTTTTCATTGGTTACATTTTAAGAAACATGCTAGACGCGTGCTACTTGCTACGTGCTACTTGCCACGCCACTTTGGTGGGCGCTCGCCCTAACCTTAACGACTAGACTTAACCGCTTGTGCCTCTGCATGACCTTGAACATCTTTCTGCTAGGTGTATGTCCGGTGTTATGTAGCCAACGTGGCGAATACATCAACGGAGAATGCCAGTGTAACCCTGGATGGAAAGGCAAGGAATGTCAACTAAGGCATGACGAATGCGAAGTGCCTGATTGCAACGGTCACGGGCATTGTGCTAACGGCAAATGCAACTGCATCAGGGGCTACAAAGGAAAGTTTTGCGAAGAAGGTGAGCATATTTCATTTATAGATATTTGTTCTTTGACCATCCCGAAATTATAGTCATTTATAATTAATTATATTTTACCTTATTTGCTATCATTCCGGTTTTGAAGTGACTTTGTATTTTGATTTTTTTTTTATCCTCATTTATATTTAGACAGATGTTTAACGCAGTTTCTTTAAAACCTCAGAAAATATTCTTAACTTCTACTCCTTGACTGTGCTACTGCAAAGGCGAAAGTATTTGATCTTTTTCCTCCTATTCTAACTTTTTTCAACGCACATTATCGTTAATGCAACCAGTTTTTTATGTTCACCCATCTTAATCATTGCTTTACATAATTTCAGACGATTAATTGAATCACAAGCCTGTTTGAAGTTTATAAAAATCTGGTGTACGTCTTGATTATACTCTTGGCCTGAACATCCCTTATCATCCTCTATAATTATTTTTTGATTATATAGGTTATGTTTCCTTCTCTGTTACATCCATAAACATATAATACGAGATGAACTGACTGCTGCAATACAGTCACGTTCCCCCAGTGCGACACAGAAAACTGACGCAAAGCATTCCCTGCATCTCTCTTTAATGGATCGGGTTTATCGTTCACGTGACATTTTCGTTGGTTATTTAGATCATGTGGTTGATAAACCTGGCAAATTTGAAAGGGATATAGGGACTGATTTACGTCAGTCTTCTCTGTCGCAGTGGAATAACGATCAGTCTATCTTTTATTATATGTCTGTGGTTACATCAAGAACTGAAAAATTTCTTTTATACTATATGACGCACTATACATATTTCTTTATCAATTAATACGTAATTATTCTTCTATTAAAAATCAGTTATTTCGTATAAGCATTGACTAACCATAATATTTTATCTAGCCGATTGCCCACACCCGACTTGTTCGTCGCATGGGTACTGCGTAGAAGGAACTTGCATTTGTAAGAAGGGTTGGAAAGGAGCTGATTGCTCTCAGATGGATAAAGATGCTCTTCAATGTCTTCCTGATTGTTCTGGTCACGGTACATTTGATCTAGAATCTCAAACTTGCACTTGTGAACCGAGATGGTCTGGAGATGATTGTTCCAGAGGTAAGTACGATCAACTTAATCGATATTCTGTAAATAAGATGATTTTATAAGAAATATTACATTAAGCTCGAAGAAAATCTATCCAAACAGTAAGTAGGTATATTTTTATACTGTATTAAAGTTCTACAAACTTATAACAAGAGTCTACACTATTTTTACTGAAGTTATTCCAACTGGTTATTACTTAAAGAAGCTGCAGAGCGTCAAATAACCCCAAACTTATTTGTGTGCACAAATTTTCACACAAAAAAACGGCTAAGTAGTTTTTCTCTAGACATGCGGTGGTTTCCTAAGACTGGCTGCTAGCACTAGCAGACCCGAAAGCAAAACGAAAAATGAATCCGCGGCGGTTGATCAGTCATCGATAGTAGTTGAAGTGGTTTCTTTAAAACAACGACCTCTGAATTGTGTCAGTCGAAATGGATGGTCCAGAGAGAAATTATAGGAAGATGAAATATTTAATAATACTGCAAATTAAAAAAAAACAATAAAGTGACTGAATTATTTTTAATTTGATAAGCGGAAGAACAGTCAAGTTAATAATTATATACCAATTTTACAAGTAAGTATATATATATATATATATATATATATATATATATATATATATATATATATATATTTCTTCAATTTTAAACAAAAGCACGCATTTTTTTTGGTGATTGTTACAATTGATAATGGTTTCGGTTTCTGATAAAGTTTTCTACGACTTAACGTGACCGATAGCGAAAATTGACGGAATTTTACGTCACTGACGAAATTTTACTTTACCGGCTGCTGCGGAGCTTAAAAAATTGCCATCAATATGAACCTCAGTCAATAAATGTTTATGTATAAGAAAAAGAAAGAAAACTTGTCTTCTTTTAACTTGTTTCCTTTATTTAATATTAATTTTGCAGATTTGTTACTAAGATGTCTATGTCATGTATACTTCAACTTATTTTCAGATTGGATGTTTCTATTTACACACTACAAATATAAACCGTTGGTTGAAGTAGTCCTAGGAGTGGGAATGATTTCAGTAAATTTAGTTAATTTCATAGTTTAGTCTAATATTTGCACATTCTAACTTTCACATTCACATTCGTAAGCATTTTGCGCTTTTTGGTTCAATCTCAGTAAACATGTTTTGTAAATAACACCTTAGTTGATAATTAATTAACCAACTTATATCTTTTTTTTTGAATATATAATAATCTATGATATTTGCAGAAAATTTTAATAAACAAAGTGTGTCTTGCATACCTAGCGTGCAAAATAAAAAAGTTGAAAAATATTTTACATTTTTTAGCAAGAATAGTTTATTCACAGAAACACAGATCCACTATATTTCGGTAATAGTATTATTTGCTTAAGAAATATTTATTTTCACCATATAATTTATCTATTATATTTGTTGCTTATTTTATATCTAACTTGTAGGTTTTCAATCTGATTTCCTGCTATTTCTGTCTCCCAGGTTTATTTTCAATATTCTTTTATCTATTGCTATACTCTTATTGATCGTATAGCTTGTCGAAAAATTTTCCATACTGTCAAGAACCTTGTCAAACTCTACAAAAGCTGTAGACGCCGTAATTTAATATTAGAATCTTTGAAATTACGACTGATACTGAATGTTTTCCTGCATTCTACAAAGTTTTCTGTATGATATTTATCCAGTTTTATCCCCAACAGTAAACAACTGCTTTGTTCTAGTCTTCAAGTAACTTCATCTGTTGTTAACAGATTTTAAAACAAAAGTATTGGATTACGTAGATCCAAAGAGTGCGGTAGTACTTTGTAAATACAATTCATCATGTAAATAAAGTTTTGTAATCATTTTAAAAATATTCTTGACTCCTGGAACTAAAACCACATTTCAACAATATGAACCTATCTTGCCCATTTTTATAATTCTTTTAATGACCGGTAACTCATATGTTTCCAGAGCTCTGCGATCTGGACTGTGGAAATCATGGCCACTGCGTCAACGAAGCTTGCCAATGCGATCTCGGCTGGTCCGGAGAATTCTGTAACTTAAAACAATGTGATCAGAGGTGCAATGATCATGGACAATGCAAAAACGGTACCTGTCTTTGCGTCACCGGTTGGAACGGGAAGCATTGTACCATCGAAGGTTGTCCCAACAGTTGCTCTGGACATGGCCAGTGTAGATTCAGCAGTGAAAGTAGTTGGGAGTGCAGGTGCGACAACGGATGGGATGGTGCCGATTGCAGTCTTTTACTGGAGCAGAACTGTAACGATGGTAGAGATAATGATAAAGGTAAACAGTTGTAGTTTTTTTTTTTCATTTTTTCATTAATTCCACTGGAAAAATTTAAAAGCATATATTTTTTGTACCATCAACTGTTACTAAGATCCATATATATGTTCAAGGAAGAACATAAAGCAGAAAAAATAAATAATCATTCTAACGTAAATTTAAAAGATTTTTGTATTTTGTAGATGGTCTTGTCGATTGCGAAGATCCAGAATGCTGTATGAACCCCGCCTGCAAGAACAGTCAACTTTGCGTCTCGTCCCCCAAACCAATCGACATACTTTTAAGAAAACAACCACCAGCAATAACAGCTTCCTTTTTCGAAAGAATGAAGTTCTTAATAGACGAAGGAAGTCTACAGAACTACGCCAGAGCTGAGACATTCAACGAAAGGTGAGTAGAACCAATTTTTGGGAATACTTAACAAAAAAAATACTGTTTCTCTTTAAATGTTATCTGTTTACAATATTACTAGCTGCTTTGTTGTGCCCCATGTTAAAACACTCCCCTCTATGTCATTTTTTTAATTCAAACTTTCACTTGAATGGTGACTTGCTTGTTGAGGTAGTGGCATCTCAAAGTGCTGTATTTTATGTATGCTTTAGACTAAATAATTTGTAAAAATAATAAACTTGTACTTGTGCTCTTAAGATAAATAGGTTGTGACTTTAACGGACGACAGTTCAAACGCTACTGCTTGGTGCCTACAAGACTGTGGAGACTAGCTTTAATGTAAAAGAAGAAATAGAAGCAAAAAGTAACGTTATACTAAATTTAATATGCTAGGACATGAATTCTCTCTCAACTCCTTTGGAGAGAAATCATGTCCTAACCCCATTCCTACCCAATACCTACTATCCTACCAATTTCCCAACCAATTCACCAACCCGCCTGGCAAGCATGGTGTTTAAATGCCAAAAACCCTCAGCATGAAGAGACATTCAAGAAAACGGCCCTTAGTCCCCGGCAGCTCGCTAGTTCCCAACCAAAGTAGCGGTATTACTCACGGACAGCGGGCATAGAGTGCGAAGAATCCCCTTGTTGTAGGATGCTACCAAGAACGACATAATTACGCTACACATAATTACGTATTATGTAAGAACCTTATCTAAGGATGAAAAAATGACGGAACTGGAGGAAGAACTCAAACATGTGAAATGGGATGTTATAGGAATTAACGAAGTCAAAAGAAGAGGTGAAGATCAGGTCAAACTAAAATCAGGCAACATATTCCACTATAAAGGGGAAACAGAATAGACAACTGGAGGAATAGGTTTATTAGTACACAAAAAATTACAGAAAAATATACAGAGCATTGACTGCATTTTTTCAAGAGTTATGTATATAAATCTAAGGCTAAATAAGAGATACAATCTGAAAATAATCCATGTATACGCCCCCACCAGCGATTACGAAGATAAACTTGTTGAAGCATTCTATGAGGAAATCGAAAGAGCAAAAAAGTAGGAACTGGCTCATTACAATCTGATAATGGGAGATTTTAACGGAAAACTCGGAAGGAAAAAGGACGAACAACAGTGATAGTCTTGTTAACACAAAAAAGGCGATATTACTAAATTATAAAATTATAGACTCATCAGCCTCTTGACACATATATACAAACTCTATGAAAATCTTAACAAAGAGACTTACATCTAAACTTAATTTCTATCAGCTAAAGGAACAGGCTGGCTTCAGGGCAGAATATGCACAAATGACCATTTGTATACCATAAAGATCGAAAAGTGCATCGAGTACAACTGGTTCTTGCATTTGTCGATTACGAGAAGGCTTTTGATTCTGTAGAGTTTGAAACAGTACTGGAAGCCCTAAATCAAAGGCGAATAGATAACAGGTACACGACACTAATCAAAAACATCTACGAGAACGCTACATCAAGTATACGACTACATGAAGACACAGAAAAATTCAGCTGAGGTCGAGGAGTTAGACAAGTACACAATATTTCACCAAAATTGTTCACGTCAGTTCTAAGAGTCAATATTTAAGAACGCGCTAAGATATGGGCATCAATATAGATAGAGAAAGATTAAATCATCTAAGGTTTGCAGATGATGTTGTAATAATCGCAGATAACTTACAGGATTCAGTTTCTATGATACATTCGCTTAAAAATTTGTCTGAAAGAGCAGGATTAAAGATAAACTTTGAGAAAACTAAACTTATGACAAATCTCGTAATGAGTGGAAATATAACTATTGACAATAATACCATACAACAAACAGACACTTACAAATATCTGAGACACGAGATCAAAATAAGCAGAAATAATCAAACACATGAAATACAGAGGCGACTAGGCCTAACATGGGCAGCATTTGGCATATTAAGCCATGTTCTAAAAAGTTCAATTCCCATGTGTCTCAAGCGAAAGGTTTGTAACCAATGTGTTTTGCCTGTACAAACTTATGAATCAGAGACTTTACCACTCACGCAAAAATCTACGAATAATCTCAGAGTTATACAACCAACCATGGAACGTGCAATACTGAACGTGAGCCTTCGAGACCTCATAACAAACCAACAAATCAGGCAAAGATCAGGAGTTCAAGACGTCATCGCAAGAACCACGACGCTTAAGTGGAACTGGGCAGGGTACTTAGCCAGAACACAAGATGGACGGTGAACAAAATGTATCATGGAATGGAGGCCCAGAAACGATAAAAGAAACCGAGGACGACCACCGACTAGATGGACCGATGATATAAAACGTGTAGCGGGAAACTGGCTACAGGCAGCCCAGTGGAAAGAACTGAGGGAGGCTTATATCCAGCAGTGGACGCGATTGGCTGATTGATGAATATGCTAAGAAGAAGATTCTGCTCATTTAAAAGCTCTAAGTGTAATCATCTTTTATTAAATGGATCATATAGGTAAGACTATTATTCCAGATCGGTTAGAGAATAAAGATAGCTATATTTAAATTAAAGCGTCAACAGATATTGTCGTCGATTATTTGGAAATTTCAATATATTTTCTTAAACATAATGACCAAAAACCTAACGTCCAAACCAAAACAACTCGTGGAAAAATGTCTGAATCATTCGACCGTTTATGATTGACGCGTCTAAAAATACACCTTTTGTATTTTTTCATTTATAATAAATTTTTTATAAAACATAAATATTTTAAACAAATAAACGGAAAATACTTTTTGGAACGGAGTTCAAATTCGTGACAGTTATTAAGGCTTGTATCGACCGAAAAATGATTTAATATTAATCAAGAATTGTTGAAATTTTCTAAATTTAGAACCCTGCACGTGTCTTCCTTTTGAAATGCGAAGGGAAGGGATTAAATTATAATGTGCCCTTTAAGCTTACGAGACAAATGATAGAAATTATTAAGAATCATGTTTTTTGCTTTTCTCCTCATAAAATACTCATAAATATTATATTTTTTGTATTTGCATTTAAAAATATATTTTTAGGGATAATTAATTGAGTTTATACCCAAATTCAGCAATTTTATTTGTATTCAATACATAAAAACAGTACTTTGAGATGAAATTACCTATTAACGTTTTTCTAATCGTTTATTCTGCTCGTTTATGTTGAATTTATAAGCAATAAAGGTTAATATCGAATATTCCATCAAATTAAGCATTTACAATAACGTATTTTACCATTGGCAGCACAAATATTAAAAGAGTTATAAAGGAATAATAATTTCTACATACATTATGTCAAAAACGAAGATTTTACATTATATCTGCATATTTATACATATATTAACATTTACTAGATCAACAGTTCGAGTATAATGACTACGCTACTTTCATTCGATTCATAGAATCCTTTTTGACATAAAATCCATATTTGTTGGATATAATACCAGGTATTTGATATTTTTGACGACCCTTTCTGACTTTATACAGTTCTGTCAGCAATTAATGTTGATTTTTTTCTTGGCATCAATTTTTTATATCGCTTAGTTTTTCTAGATCTTGATCTAGCGCATATTTTTTTATTGATTGCAAGTTTTAATTTTTTGCCGCTAATTTTTAAGTTTCGCTTATTTTATCGCTAAGTGTTTCTTCGTTGCTGTTGTTTTTCTCTAGGCTTCTAAATATAGTTGTTGCCTAATATGTTTTTATTGTTCTGAAGCTATTTTCTTGTGTCATTTTAAATTAATTACTATTTAACTGGGAATAAGCCACAATTAAAGATAAAAATAAATCTATTGACGTTTCAATTTCCACTTCGGAAATCGTTCTCAAAATACAAACGTTTGTATTTTGAGAACGATTTTCGAAGTGGAAATTGAAACGTCAATAAACGTATTTTTATCTTTAATTGTGGCTTATTCCCAGTTAAATAGTAATTAGCATGCTTTTGGCATCTGTCGTTTATAATCACGTATTATTCTCTTGCCTCCTGGATCCTCTTTCAGGCCTAGTTTTTTTGGCTCAGTGTTTTCTTGGCGGTTTGGTTTTGTGGTCGTCTAATACTTTTATTATCATTTAGTTTAGAATCATATATCTAATGAAGAAGATTGAGAAGACTACACAGAAATATAAAAAAAAAAGTTTTTCAAAAACGCTAGCTGTGGATATGATTTCAAACAAATACTACACAGCTTTTTCGCGATGTGCCAGTAAAATTCGAATAGCTTAGTCGCCAACATTCGGTGACGAATTGGTACTACAGAAGAAGAAGAAGAAAGCTTTTACGCTTAATATAAAATCCATATCTATTTTATATGATACCACGTGTTAGTTTTGGCGACAATTTGTAACTTTGTTCAGACCAGATAATCCGGATTTTTTACGTAAATTTGGTGATATCGCTTAATTTTTCTCAGTCCCTAATTTTTTTGGTGTCAGTTTATTTTCTCACGTCCGTTTTTTTCTTAACGCGTAGTTTTATGATGTCACATAATTTTTATTGGCTCCTTTTTTACTTACCGCATCTTTTCTGTTATCGCAAAGTTGATTTTTTATTGACGCATATTTTATGATATCGCTTAGTTTTTCTTAGCTCCTATTTTTTTCTTGGCGCCAATTTTTTTTATGACCTAGTTTTCTCGCGTTTGATTTTTTTCTTTATGCGTAGCTTTTGATATCGCTTACTTTTTCTTCATTCCTAGTTTTTCTTTGTGCATCTTGTGTGCTATCGCAAAATTTTACTATCGATAGTAAGCGATATATCATAGTTTTTCTTAGTTCCTAATTTTTCTTGGCACGTACTTTTTGATATCGCTTGGTTTTTTTTGGCTCTTAGTTTTTTTGGTGCACCTTTTGGGTTATCGCAAAATTTTCCTTATATCCGATTTTCTCTAAGCGCATTTGTTTGATATCTCTTAGTTTTTCTTGGCGCATGGTTTTGTGCACTTGGTCCTAAGATTAACTTGGAAAAAAACAAAAATAATAAGAAATACACCGCAAATTAGAGAAATAGTGTTGAATGACATAAATTTAGAAACAGTAATCGAATACATCTACCTGGGACAGATAATGAAAGTTAACAAAAAAATCAAACTGCCGAAATTACCAGAAGAATGAGGTTAGCATGGGCAGGATTTGGATCTTAAAAAGCACTAAAATAGAAAAATATTTAAAAAACAGAATTTACTATCAGTGTATCCTCCCTATACTCACATATGATTCACAGACGTGGACACTCACCAAGTCTAATATGGATAAAATAGTACAAAGAGGCACAAAGAGCGATGGAAAGATCAATGCTCGGGGTGAGAATTACAGAAAAAAAAAGGGGTTAGAAGAAAAACCAAAATAAAAGACAGGAGAACATGCTGCCAAATTAAAATTGAGCTTCGCAGGACTCAATGCCCAACTGAAGCATAAAAGATAGAACCACGAAATACAACAATGGAGACCGTGGTTAGGAAAGAAAAGCAGAGGCAGACCACAAATGAGATGAACTGATGACATTAAGAAGATCGGAGGACACAACTGGAAGCAAAGGGCGCAAAATAGAAAACACTGGATTTATTTAGGGAGGCCTATGTCCAAAGTTGGATTACTTAAGGCTGAAGAAGAAGATGGTTTTTGATATCGCATAGTTTTTCTTGGCGATTATTTTCTGTTATCAATACTACTTTTCGTGCGTCATACTTTTTCTTAACGCGTAATATTTGATATCGTTTAGTTTTTCTTGGCTATTTTTTTTTTTAGTTTTCCTTATGTCCGGTTTTTGTTGGCGCCTATTATTTGATATTGCTTACTTTTTCTTGATCCCTAGTTTTTTAAATCAACTCATAAATTTTTCTTGGCGCCTATTTTTGTTATCGGTAAGTTCTCCTTACATCTAATTTTTTTCTTAGTCCTTTAAATCCTTTAACGTTGACCTAGTATCAAAATATTTTTAAAATTTAATACTTTAAATATGTGTATATATATATATATATATATATATATATATATATATATATATATTATATCTATATATATATATATATATATATATATATATATATATATATATATATATATATATATATTATAAGGGTTATGCGATTTATTTATACGGCTAGTTTCAACTGATCTTTATATCTTTCCACTGATGATGCTCCAATAGGACTGCAAACGTCCTCAAAACGTTTTACACCAGAAGTATATATTTAATTGTAAGTTATTTAACTATGATATTCAGCTTACCACTGTGATTTTATCCTTTTAATTTTTAATTTATAAAATTATCACTAAAGCGATTAAAATATATTATGTTACGACGAATGTGCTACCAATGTTAAAAAGTAAAGCTACTCAATAATATCAGCTTGAGATACTAATTCTAGCAAATTATCAGCTATTCTAAAACTAACATCTTAACTTACTACTTTGGATTTCTTTATTCTTGCTGCTCAGTATGTTCTGGAACAACTTTAATACGAGGTAAGGCTATAAGCCACATAAGTACTTTAAAAGTAAAGTAGAGGTAGCTCTAGATGAATTTGGTAACACTATGAATCATTTTTATGTTCTTTTTGCCTGGTTTTTGTATGTATGCTAACTCCACTGTGTTCGTGTATATTTTGTTGGCTTCAGTTTTAATGTTTTTTCCTTAATATCAAATTTTCACACAGATTTATTAATGTGAATGTTTTCTTTAGCCGATCTGCCGTTGTTAGAGGCCGGGTAACTACGCAAATGGGTACTGGACTGATGGGAGTTAGAGTTAGTACTAACACACCACTAGAGGGCTTCACTCTAACAAGAGACGACGGTTGGTTCGATTTGCTAGTTAACGGCGGAGGTGCTGTAACTTTACAGTTTGGAAGATCACCATTTAGCCCACAAAGTCGCATCATATACGTTCCATGGAATGAAGTAGTGATAATAGAAAACGTAGTAATGACCACCGGAGAAGAACGAACTATTAGTATTATTCCACAACCCTGTAGTTCTCACGACTATGACACCATGAAACCTGTCGTACTAGCTACCTGGAAGCACGGTTTTCAAGGTGCCTGTCCAGACAAGAGTGCCATTTTAGCTGAATCTCAAGTTGTCCAAGAAAGCCTCCGTATCCCCGGCACAGGATTGAATCTAGTCTACCAAAGCTCGAGAGCAGCAGGTTATTTATCAACCATACAACTCCAACTAACACCAGAAGTCATTCCGTCTGACCTAAAACTCATACACCTAAGAATAACTATCGAAGGCATTTTGTTCGAAAAAGTTTTTGAAGCAGATCCCGTTATTAAGTTCACGTACGCCTGGAATAGGCTCAACGTTTACAGACAGAGAGTGTATGGAGTCACTAACGCCATCGTTAAAGTGGGATACGAGTATACAAATTGCAAGGACGTTATTTGGGACGTACAAACCACTAAATTGAGCGGTCACGACATGAGCATATCTGAAGTTGGTGGTTGGAACTTGGATATACACCATCGATACAATTTCCATGAAGGTAAGCACATAATTTTTATAAAATATATTTTATTACAACTAATAGTTTGAGATTAACGGTCTAACTGGGAAAATGATTAATTCTTCATTTTTTTAAAGTTGGATGTATATTTTCGATGAGCTATTTTATAATATCCATTCATTTTTGGAATGGTTTTCTTCTGTATTGTTACCAAATCTCAAAATCATTAGAAATATTTGATTTTTAGTTAACAATATTCTGGCCTCGGTTGTTTGATTGCCCATTTCCGTTATTTTGTTTTTGAGTTCCTCTTAAATAATAAAATTATAAAAAATAAACAAAGTTGTGTATTTTCCGGTAAGAAATTGTACAAACTGTATTTTTTGCCTCAATTGTGATTGTGATATGACTATTTTCTTACAAAATTTTAAAAATATCAGAAAATGTCGATTTTAAATAAAAAAATCTTCATGGATTTGTTTTTTTGAACTCTTCTCTTTCTTTTTTGTCTTTATTCTTCTTCTTAGAGTGCCGTCTCCCTACGGAGGTTGGCAATCATAATGGTTTTTTTTTATTTAGAACTTGCTGCTCTAAACAAATATATATTTATAAAATTATATAGAGCCAATCATTACCTTGGGTTATTTCTTCACTATTTATATTATAATCTAGATAACTTATCGTTAACCTATTTGTTTTTGCATAATTCCTTTAATTATCCTAGTCGCCTTATGACAAACGCTATAATTCTACCCTAAATGGCATTTCTTGTGTTTCTAATGTCTTCCTTGGTTGTTGATAATATAACAATCAACAAGTGATGCAATATGACAGATGACTTATGACAGCACCCATGTTAAAATCAGTCGCTATTTCGGAAAATTAAACGTTATTTTCAATTATTTGTCATTCTAGAGCATAATAACTTCTACTAAAAGCATAACAGATCAAATTTGTGACCTGTAGTTTCGTGAAAATCAAAATTAAAACATAAAAATTCTCGTCTAAAGCAACACAAGCTGACAATTTAGTTTGTTTTTAGGTATTCTCCAAAAGGGCGACGGTTCCAACATATACCTCAAGCACAAACCTCGGGTTATCTTAACAGCAATGGGAGATGGACATCAAAGGCCACTAGAGTGCACTGATTGCGAAGGTCAGGCTTCCAAACAAAGGCTTCTCGCACCAGTCGCTTTGGCAAGTGCTCCTGATGGTTCTCTGATCATCGGCGATTTTAACCTTGTCAGAAAGATCCAAACTGATGGAATCGTTAGGACCATCGTGAGGTTAAAGTAAGTATAGCAAAAAACTGATTTCATTTTATTTTACTACTACTTACGACGCTATCGCACGTTAAATATCAGACATGGATGCTAAGAGAGGTGTTGATCATTCAAAGAATTTACTGAGTATGACCTTTATTAGATTTCCACAATAACTATGTGGAGCGTACAATACCATCATTCGCAAGTGTTCACCAAAGAAACATGCCAAGCAAAGTATTCACTGAAACAAAGTTGCTGAATTTGATAAGAAAAAATAATACTTAAATGGTATCTGGAGGGTAATATCTGTGAATAGTAATGTTTTTGCCAATAGACATAAGCAATATAGATATTCTGAAGAGTGACAACACATCATGGGAGCCGGTACTATTTCTCCTTGTTCTTCCGGTCCTTCCACTAAGTTTCTCCTCAATATGATGTTTTTATTTTTACTAATAACTATTTTTTTTCTGTTTTAGTGCCACCAGAGTCTCCTATCGGTACCATATGTCTTTGAGTCCTCTAGATGGAACCCTGTACATCTCTGATCCCGAATCTCACCAAATTATTAAAGTTCGAAGTACCGATGATTATTCAGATCCTGACCACAACTGGGAAACAGTCGTTGGATCAGGAGAACGATGTCTTCCAGGTGACGAGGCCCACTGCGGCGACGGTGCTTTAGCAAGAGATGCCAAATTAGCTTATCCCAAGGGCGTGGCTGTTTCGAATGATAACGTTTTGTATTTCGCTGATGGTACCAATATCAGAATGGTGGACAGAGATGGTATAGTGACGACGGTTATAGGCAACCATATGCATAAATCGCATTGGAAGCCTTTGCCGTGTGAAGGAACGCTCAATCTGGAAGAAGTTCATCTTAGGTGGCCTACAGAATTAGCTATCAATCCTTTAGATAATACTTTACACATAATAGATGACCATATGATCCTACAACTTACTTTAGATGGAAGAGTGAAGGTGATTGCTGGAAGGCCTTTACATTGTGCCTCGCCTGTCACTGGTTACGACATTGAGTTGGCTACACACGCAACTTTAGTGATGCCCCAAAGCATCGCTTTTAGTTCTTCTGGTGATCTATACGTCGCTGAAAGTGACTCTCAAAGAATCAATAGAGTTAGGGTTATAGGCACAGATGGCAAGATTTCACCTTATGCGGGAGCAGAATCCAAATGTAATTGCCTTGAAAGAGGTTGCGACTGTTTTGAAGCTGATCACTTCTTGGCTTCCAATGCTAAGTTTAATACTATATCATCAGTAACAGTTACACCAGACAGTCATGTACACATTGGCGACCAAGCGAACTACAGAATAAGATCAGTAATGGCGAGCATACCTGACGCTAGCACCACTAGAGAATATGAAATTTATTCACCAGAAACTCAAGAAATTTACATCTTCAACAGATTCGGCCAGCACATTGCGACTAAGAATATTTTAACAGGCGAGTCCAGTTATCTCTTCACTTATAATGTTAACACCAGCAATGGAAAGCTCAGTACGGTAACAGATGCTGCTGGAAATAAAGTTTTTCTATTGAGGGACTATTCCAGTCAAGTTAATTCGATAGAAAATACTAAAGGGCAAAAATGTAGATTGAGGATGTCCAGAATGAGAATGCTTTACGAACTGAGTACTCCAGATAACTATAATGTCACTTTTGACTACCACAGCCCTACCGGTTTGTTAAAAACAAAACTTGACAGCAGTGGTAGAAGCTATGTCTACAACTACGACGAATTTGGTCGATTAGTATCAGCAGTAACACCAACTGGAAAGATAATCAGTCTCTCATTCGATCTCAGTCTCAAGGGAGCCACAGTTAAAGTTAGCCAAAATAACAGACCGCCTGTATCTATGCTTATTAAAGGCTCTAGCGTCTCAACTAAGGTAGATGAAGTAGAAAATAGAATAATTTTACTCCCAGATGGCAGCGTAACTAGTGAATCATCGTGGTCTCATAGCATAACCACTGATACAGTACCTTACAACATTCTTGCTGATAAAGACCCAATACTAGGAGAAAGCTACCCAGTACCTGCAAAACAAAGAATCGAAATTGGCGGAGATCTAGCTAATAGGTTTGAATGGAGGTATTTTGTACGGCCTAATTCAAACTCCAAGAGTAACAAGAACATTTCGCCTAGAATTTTGACAAAAGTTGGCAAGAAACTTCGAGTCAATGGAGAAAATCTTCTTACTATGGAATACGATAGAGAAACTGCCTCGGTTTCGGTCTTTATGGATGACAAAGTAGAATTACTGAATGTTACGTATGATCGCTCAGCAAGGCCCGTCAAACTCGGTCCACGAAATGGTATATTTGCCGAAGTCGAGCTTGAGTATGACAGATTCAGTCGATTGACCAGCTGGAAGTGGGGAGATCTAAGTGAAAACTATGGATTTGATAGAGCTGGCCGACTTAACGAGATCAAATATGGTGATGGGTCTTCGCTAGTCTACGCCTTCAAGGACATGTTCAGCAGCTTGGTAAGTTACTTTGGTTTTTTACTGTCTTTCTACTTCTTATTGTTGGTTTTTATTTGTCATATTCATCAATTTGAGTTCCGTTTTTATAACCGAGTGTTAGATGTTAATAGTGCTGTAGAGATACGTTCTGTATTAGTTACTATGACGTCTAAAAGATGTCCTAGGAGGTATGTGCCTGACTAGCTTGTACACATTTCTTTTATCTCTTTCTTCAAACTGTCAATTGCTTTTTCAAAATATAATGAAACACAAAGTTTTTAATATTTCTGATAGTTTTCTTATTTATTGGTCTTCTTAGTCTATAAATATATTTAATTTCTGTGCAAATTCAAACATTTGTTTATTTAATGTAGTTCTACTTTTTTTGTTTAAATGCGCTTATAATATTTCCTTAAAAAAATCACTATAATTTTTCTTTTTTTTTTTTCAATATTATTTCTGTTTTATTTGTTGCCCACCAGATAAATATATTAGATATAATAATATTCATACACATAGGAGGATAAAGTCGTCTTCCCAACATATTTTGGAATCCTTGTTTATAATTATTTTGATGTTTTATCGTTAAAAATGACTAAACTAGTGCCATTTTGTAAAATTATTTTAAATGGGATCATATGGAAATACCTTATATGAAAGCTCGTTTTAAGTTATATTTATATAAAAACCATCAAAATGTTCATTATAATCATAAACAGTTCCTGCTAAACTAAAATAAATTTGGAAGGATTGGCATTACACAAATATTCAATTCATTTTGAGTTATTTTATTGATTTTGTTTATTTCAAAAACATTATGACATTGCAGCGTTTAGTTTAGTGCTGTAAGATATAGTATTTCCTGTTTTTCGACTGTCCTTGTGCTTTGTTAATAGTAATTACGAAAGCGAGTCGCAACGAAAAGTGTAAACGTTTAATTTCGAATGGAATATTTGTCAGAATCATTGGGATTGCCAAAAGATCATCTTGACACAATGAGTAAAATGCAGTTAAAGTTATTGCCGGTGGAACCAATGCTCTTGCACGTACATTATCTGCTGTGAAGTACACGTGCTGTGCATTCTCGAGTTACATCGCCAAGTGTATTACTATTGGATGTCGTTCATGAATTGAAAATGATAACATGCGTTATATTGCTTAATTGCTGCTAATATAGCGACAGTCCAATTATTTTTTTAATCATCTATGCTCTGGTATTGTTTCATTCTTTGTATATGCCTGTACCACTGCAGGGCTCTGTTTTTCAACTTTTTTTTATAATTGAGCATTCTACTTCCATTCTGTTCCATATTTTTTGTGTTCTTATTCTATTCGCTCTGGTGATTTGTAGACATCTTCTCGTAAATTAATTACTATTTAACTGAGAATAAGCCACAATTAAATATAAAAATACGTTTACTGACTATTCTCTAAGGACGATTTCCGAAGTGGAAATTGAAACGTCAATAAACGTATTTTTATCTTTAATTGTGGCTTATTCCCAGTTAAATAGTAATTAATTTACAATGCCACAAGAAAATAGCTTCAGAACAATCTTCTCGTAAAGTCCAATTCAACTATTTAAATTTTATTTCGTATTAATATTGTTATTGTTTAAAATCGTATTAATATAAATCATAATAATTTCGTATTAATGTTGTCATTGGTAAAATTATTTTAAAGGTTATATTGTAATACACTCAACATCCCTATTATTTATTACTTGGCGTATGATCTCATTGAAAATGTTGTTATAATGTGGCCAGAGATGGTCATTCTTAATTATTTCATAAGCAATGAACATATTTCTGCATCAACATCAACGTTCAACAGTTGAATAGGTTTTTTTTATTTGTGCACTGTATATTTTATACTAGATTATTTTTTATAACGTGCAATAATTTTTCAGCCTCTAAAAGTCAGCACACCTAGAGGATCCGACTATTTGCTCCAATACGACGATTCCGGCGCTCTCCAATCATTAACAACTCCAAGAGGTCACATCCACACGTTCTCTCTTCAAACATCGCTTGGTTTCTTCAAGTACCAGTACTTCTCTCCAATGAATAGGCATCCATATGAAATAATATACAATGATAATGGACAAATATTGGCCAAGATATTCCCGCACCAATCGGGAAGAGTTTCTTACGTGTATGATGATGCAGGAAGATTAGAAACAACTCTAGCTGGCATGAGCTCCACTCATTACGTTTACCATGAATTATTAGATCTGGTGAAGAGTGTTGAAATTGTAGAACCCAACTTTGAGTTGAAACAAGAATTCAAGTACCATGCTGGAATTCTGAAAGATGAGAAAGTTAAATTTAACAGCAAGAGTGGTCTCGATAACGCACATTACAAGTACCAGTACGATGGTAATGCTAGATTATCTACTATCGATGTCGATATCAACGGCAAAGAACTACCACAACTGAGATTGAAATATAACCAAAATCTTGGAATACTGGAAAGCATAAGCGACCTACGAATATACAGAAATACCTTTAACAGGTCTGTCATGCAAGACACCACCAAACAATTCTTCACAATAACAGACTTTGATGATCACGGTAGAGTAAAAACAATTTTGATAAATATAAAATCTTTTGATGTTTATAGACTAGAAGTAGAGTATGATACAAGGAATAGAATAAAAATGCAAAAATTGATGGTGGGACGTTCGCAATTTATGGACAGGTTTTCCTACAACTCAGATGGTCACGTACTCGAAGTTATTGGTACCAGCAATTGGAAGTACGTCTACGATGAAAACGGCAACATTATAGGAGTCATAAAAGAGAAAGAGAAAATATCTTTGGGATATGACAGTGGAGACAGAGTTGTTCAATATGGTGATGTAGAGTTCTACAGCTACGACACCAGAGGCTTTGTTGTGAGACGAGGGGAGCAGAAATATCGGTACAACTCTAAAGGACAACTAATTCACGTATTTGAACGAGACAAATTCCAAATTTGGTACTACTATGATGATAGGGGCAGACTAATCTCTTGGAATGACGATAAAGGAAACGTTACTCAGTACTTATACACAAACCCAAGCACTCCTGATCTCTTAACCCACGTTCACTTCCCCAAAAGTGGTAGAACCTTCAGATTTTTATACGACTCCAGAAACGTCATAATCACAGTCGAAACATCGGAACAAAGATTCTACGTAGCGTCCGATCAAAACGGCTCACCGATAGCCCTGTTCGACATAAACGGAAATTTGATCAAAGAAGTTAGAAGGACGCCTTTTGGAAATATCATTCTAGATACAAACCCAGACTTCTATCTCCCAGTGGACTTCCACGGAGGTATCCTAGATCCCAACACTAAACTAATCTTTATCAGTAAAAGACTGTACGACCCAGTGGTTGGCCAATGGATGACTCCAGACTGGGAACGACTAGCAATAAAACTCTCGATACCAACGGATGTGTTCATATATCGATTCCATAATAACGATCCTATCAATTCGAAGATGTCGCTGGATTACATGACCAGCTTCAACAGTTGGCTGAAGTTGTATGGATACGACATTGAGAAGATGCTGGGATCGAGGTACGTCAATCAGCTAATCTATCGACCGAAGGCTGTGGTTACCGCTCCTCAACTTGCTCCAGACTTTGGAATAATGTCTGGACTTCAGTGTATAGTAGATAAGGTGAGTACTTCTTTTTTTATAGAAACATGTACATAACATTGAAAAATTGCAAACTAGTAGATTGTTCAAGAATTTTATCGTTAAATACAAAAACACTAACTAGTTTATGGTTTGAAATATATTGTATGATTAGATAAAATGTCGGATACGTTGCACCAGTAACCATTTAATTTATGAAATCTCTTCCTAAAGTGAGAATCTTACAGATTGTCAAAATATGTTTCCACAGCTTCTTTTTCTCTTAATTATATGAAATTCGCTTCCCACACAGAAATTTTGTGAGGTGTGATAATTGTCACAAGTCTGAAAATGCTAGAACTGGCGATTATGATGGATATTGCAACAATTCCTTCTTTACTTGACTCATTTTACGCGATAGTTTGTTGAGCTGGTGAGAAAGTATGTACGTTGTTTAGATGGAAGCTTCAGAATTTTCTGGTTTTTGGTAAGGAACCATCAACTTTCAGTAACCATTCAACTTGTGAGTTTCATTTCTAAAGTGGAAATCTTAAATATTGTCAAAATATGTTTCCATGTCTTCTTTTTCGTCTTCATTCTATGAAAATCGTTCCCCACACGCGAATTTTTTGAGGTGCAAAAACTATTAAAAGTCTGAAAATGCTAAATCTGGTGATATGGATAGATATTACAACAAGTTTTTCTTTAATTTACTCATTTCCGCGATAACTTGTAGAGCTGTTTGAAAAGGTACGTGGTTTCGATGGAAGCTTCATAATTTTCTGGTTTTTGATAACGAACCATCAACTTTTTCGAATAAGTCTTATGCTTCTTATGCTTTTGCTATTGCAAAATTGTGCAATAATACACTAACCATTTTCGTTTTAATGTTATTATCCTTTTATTCGACTTTTCTATCTTTATATCGTTTTACCGTCGGGTGATATTTTTCTTTTTCTTTAACTAAAAGAAACTTAGTTCGTAACGACGTTAACAAACAACTTATAACCTTAATTGACTCACATTTTTTTTATGAAAAGATGAATACGACATTGGACATTATCCACAGATAAAATATTTGTGGATTTCAACAAAAACAACTTTAAAAAAGATATATCATAATCCATACAATTGTTTTTGATTCCCTAAAAAATTTTTTTTTATTGAGTTTAATGCGTCGACAACTAATGGTCATTGGCATGGTACAGTGAATTTTTACAGTCAGGTACCTAGTGTAGTGTGTGTGTGTGTGTATGTGTAGAGTAATTGTCTTGATACTTAACAAAGTCGACGTCGTCATTGTCTTTGCTAAGAGACGCTAATTGTATCCGAACGTCTGCGGTCCTTCCGGTGAGTACCGATCGCACAAGGATAGAAATTATTTTCATTCATTAATTTTTAATAAACGAAAATTTCTCTACCCAGGTGAGATTCGAACTCACGACCTTTAGGTTCAAAGGTAGGCGCTCTTACCACTGAACCACAGAGGGGTTCCCTAAAAAATTGGGAAAAGACTTGTGACAGGATGACAACTTTGAAAAACTAATGTCAGTAGTTAAGGCAATTTCACATAAACTGTAGTCTGTCATAAAGAGTGATTGAAGAAATGAAAGGTTTACTATTTCAACTCTTTTTTTTTTAATTTATTTGGCGAACACCAAACCTTAATTACGCGAAAAATGGATTTGCTTCACAAGTGAAATATAAGCAATATGATCCGAACTTGAAATATTATTTTTCTGCTTTCTTTTAATATGAGATAACCTCACACTTGCTGTCTTTTCATTCTACATGGTAATGGTGGTGAACCAAGTATATATATATATATATATATATATATATATATATATATATATATATATATATATATATATATATATATATTTATACATATATATATATATATATATATATATATATATATATATATATATATATATATATATATATATCGCTCAATACAATGTACTCTATATCTTGTACTGTATATTAATAAAAAACTATTTTTCCTAAAACCCACTAAAATACTTTTTGTTGCTGCTTCTTTTTGTAAATTTGACGTAACATTATTTTTTTATTTCAGATAAATGAAAAATTCATGGATCTCAGCTTCGTTCCTAAACCGCTCTTGAAGATGGAGCCAAAGACGAAGAACTTGCTTCCCCGTGTAGCCTACAGAAAGTCCGTCTTCGGGGAAGGCGTCCTTATATCTCGCTTAGGAAGTAGAGCCTTAGTTAGTGTAGTAGAAGGCGTAAATGGTGTAGTCCAAGACGTAGTTACATCGGTGTTTAACAATTCTTTCTTCTTAAACTTACAGTTTAGTATCCACGATCAAGACGTGTTCTACTTCGTGAAAGACAATGTACTTAAAATACGTGATGATCTAGAAGAACTTCGTAGATTAGGTGGAATGTTCAATGTATCGACCCATGAGATAACCGATCATGGATCCACGACGCCTATCAAAGAATTGCGATTGCACAATCCAGATGCAGTAGTTATTATCAAATACGGAGCTGATCCCGACGTGGAAACGCACAAGATTCTAAGACATGCGCACAAACGGGCCGTCGAGCGAGCTTGGGAGATTGAAAAGCAACTCGTCGCTGCCGGTTTCCAAGGACGAGGAGATTGGACCGAGGAAGAAAAAGAAGAACTGATCTCTCACGGCGACGTCGACGGCTACGAGGGTGTTGACATACACAGTATACACAAATATCCTCAATTAGCCGACGACCCTGGAAATGTCGCTTTCCAGAGAGACACTAAACGCAAACGAAGAAAGAGTGGCGTCCGGAGAAGTAGGATACATAGACACAATTCATGATTAAAAAATAAAAATGGTGATATTAATTAATAGTGTGGTATCAAATCTCTTTTACTTAAAAACTTCAGCTGGGTTTAATAAAATAATATTTTTATACGGAATTAAATAAATGTGGCTTACTGTGTAAAGTAAGTCAGCATAGTTCTGTCAATACTACAGTGTGTACAAAAAGTATTTCGATTTTAAAGTTATCTGTATATTTCAAACATTAATACACCGAGTATTGTACACCCTGTAGTTCGACTCTTCTTAAAATTGGAACCTACATAACAATCTAATTGTTACTAACCTCCAGGATAAAAATATAAAAGAAAATCCAGCTGGAGTGACAGGATTTAACACCGTACTATGTATAAATGACATCATAGATATTTTTGTGTGCCATACTCCGTGACATCAAATCAAATCCTAGTCGTTTCCTTACAGTCAACGTTATTTAAACAGTACAGAGACAATATTTTTTAAGTAAAAAAAATCATGGTGTATTTTGATAAAAAAAAAATGTGAACATAGAGCCATGAACCTGTCCAATGAAAATTTGTAACTGTGTTGTGTAAAAGCAATCAAAAGGCCTATATGTTAACGAAGGGATGAGTTTCCAACAGGGTAGCCATGTTACTCTAAAGGATATACTATTTAAAATATTCTTGCACTGGTACAAAAAATAGACAAACAGAAGGAGTTTTCGCCAAGAGTTTTTAGAAACATTTTCAAATATTATGACTAAACTATCTCATATATCATCTTAAATATAAACAGCACTATAGACAAGGATCTACAGACCGAGAATTTGGCATCCAAATTCCACGGCTTCGCGCAATCGTACTTGTAAGTTCGTATAGTCGGCTGGAGTTACAATTTGCCAAATTTAAATGTAATCGTTTCTACTCATTCATATTAATATTATAATGTATAATAAATTAAAGTTTTTAATATTGGTAGTATTATTAAAGCTTTTAATACTATTTTTTAATATTAATAATAATATTAAGTAATTAAATATTGCGCCTTACTTAAAAAAAGTACGAGATAAATATAACTCGTTTTTTATATCTTTACGTATGCTAAGGGTAATAAATTAAAATCCTTCAATACAAGACTAAAGGTAGGTACCTATAATTTGAATAAGCTGGTTTTGCCCATACTGACTTTCTAATTCTAATTACCTACTAATTTGCATAACAGTCAGATATTGTACCTGGTCATAATGCTGTTTTAATATTAGGATTTTCATTTCGCTTGTTGAAACTTCATCCGATATTAATTTCTTGGAAATTTTTATAAGGCTGAGAGTAAGTACTTAATCGGAATACTCGAGTATTGTTGAAAAAAACTGAAATTGAAGGTACTACACAATCGAAGAACTCAAAAAAATTAAACATTTCCGGTATTCTTTTTCCAGATCGTATTTTGTTTTCGAGATATAATTAAATTTGGGAATTTTTTATTATTTTTCCACTTTTTTCAGGTTCTTTTTTAATTTAATTTCAGTATATAAAAGCCTTTACAATATTATCCAAATTTTATTTGGAAGTTTTAATCTTAAGTGTTCAGAAACAATTTGCTATTTAGGAAATGAAAATTGGTTTTTTTTCTTTAGTTCTTAATTTGCTATAACATTTCTCATTTGATTTAATAAAAATATTGTAAATTCATTTTTTTGAATAATTATAACAACGATTTACATCCGAGTAGCTTAACACAATTAAAGAAAATATAACGAATACGCTCACGACTCGGAACTGAGTCTTTTCTTCTTTTCGCATAAAATATTACAAATTTATTTAAAATACCCTTTATTTAATATATACTTTATTTATTCATCACAATTTAAAAAAAAAATACTAGTCAGCACAGCGGTTGATTTCCATGAAAATACGCTAAGCAGTGATAATGATTGCATGTACCTAAGTTAATATTTTTGTCTTTTGGTTGGTGTTATATTGGAAATTTCCCCTCTCAAGGCATTTGCAAGAAAATTGCACTTTCATGTAAAAAACGAGTTATTTATCTCGTACTTTTTTTAAGCAAGGCGCAATATTTAATTACTTAATATTAATATTAATATTAAAAAATAGTATTAAAAGCTTTAATAATATTACCAATATTAAAAACTTTAATATATTATACATTATAATATTAATATGAATGAGTAGAAACGATTACATTTAAATTTGGCAAATTGTAACTCCAGCCGACTATACGAACTTACAAGTACGATTGCGCGAAGCCGTGGAATTTGTATACCAAATTCTCGGTCTGTAGATCCTTGTGCACTATAGATCTTGTAGTTGGACCCCAATACTTTCACTACTCCATATTTTCTTTTCTAGTTCTCTGCCAGTATTGCTTGTTTTCTACGCATTTTGGGTGTGATTCTACACTTTTACCATTGTTCTATATAAATATGTTATGTATATGATTGATACAGATTTTGTACTGCCATTATAGTAGATTGCTACATAGTCCATTACTTATTTGATTCTTCTCGACGAGCCATCTTCATGGCTCCACGGTAATCAATGCTCCGAATTCATTTCAGTCTTATGGCTTCTAGTAGGTCAAATGTCACTAATGGTTTTGCTAGACTAACATCTTTCTGAAACAAATTTTATACCTCTAGGTTCGAGATTAAGCTGTAAAAAATATATTTTTGTTTCTAATTTCTACTGTGGTGTTTCAAGTTTATGAGAAGGGTTTTTAATAGCCAGGCTCGTTCCAATTTAGAAGTTAATTTCAGCTTATATGACACATGTCAGTTGTCAACTGTTATACACGTCATTTAAATCATAACGCTGTTAGTTTATGGCCCATTCTGTACTTGTATGTATGATATATACAAGGATAGTACAGATTTTTAAAAAGCTTGTTTCAAAATTTTCTTTTATTCCTATTGGAAATGTATTCAGAATTCTTTAAACCTATTTCAGGCGAATGTCAGACAGTAGTTCAAACGTAACATAAAGTAGTATCTTTTATATAACTTTTATTAGTTCAACACAAAACAAATTGTCTGAAACATGAATTTCTTAATTTCAAGTTTGTGTTTCATTATTGGCGTTCCATTATTGACAAAATTTTCTTAATCATACCCCTTTCAATAGGCAGTTAAGTATAGCTGACGTGGCATCTGCCGTTTGTCACCTATTTTGTAAGTAATTTATTCTGTAACATTTGTGCTTTGTACGTCCATAGGACAGTCTATATCAAATATCACTTGCCAAGTGTTTATTTGTCTGTGTGCATATAAATTTTTTTAATTACTTCATAATTGTTTAAAATTTGCTACAAACTTATTTCAAGCTTAATCCTGAAAAAATAACACCTTTTAATATGACTTTTATTATTCCGCATAATGGGAAAGATTTAGGGATCGAAACATGTAATTTTCTTTTTAATTTCTGTACATATTGCAGGTTTTTGTGATAATGTTTGATTAGCAACTCCTTTTTCAATATGGCAGTAAATTTCAGCTAAGGCACCTGTCATTAAAATTTGTCATCTGTTTTAATTATCTTTGTAATTATCTAACAAGTCAAGTACCATTAATTTGTCATAGTTTTAATCTGTCTGTGTGGTCCGTACAAGGGCAGATATGAGTCAAGATTTTAAATATGTTCAAAAGATGTTTCAATCTTATTTCAGGCCTATATATACGTATATATACATGGTATAGTAGGTCAAATGTCACATATAATCCAGCAAAAGTAGCAGCTTTTTCATTACATCACAGAACTTTCATGGTACTGATTTAGTTTTTAGAAGATAATATTTAGAAAATGTATTTTATATATTTTGGGGAAACGTTTTTAACAATTGTACTTCATAGTACATTAATAAAACCCTTTGGCAACTCTAAAAGTTCTGTACGATATTCAAAACGAAAATATACTCGCTTTGGCTCCTTTTGAGTTTCTATCGATTGTGCCAGAGCAATATAAAGACTCTGAAAATAGTTTAATATAATACGGTAATAAAAATGACCTGTAAATATATCAGAAGCTTTTTATATGAAAACTAATAGTGAATTGCTATGATGAGTATTTGATTAGATTTTTATGCTGCAAATTCTTATGAGTGTTTCCAGTAAACATTGTAGGCCAGTCCGTAAACTTATTGAACTGTAAAGTGTTTTATCTTGTATTATAGTATTTAATTTTTTACTAATAATTTAACCATTTTAAAGTATCTAGAATATTATTTTGACTTTAATATGATCTTGAATTGTTTTAAAATATTATTTTTGTGTAAATTTATAGGTTTTATTATGATTTCCCGCTATTTTCGTAGTTTCTATTTGTTCAAGGCCTCTACTTTCTGGTATACAGCTCGTTTACTTCATTTTGAAGAAATTGCCGATATCTATATACAAGAACGCCGTAACGTCATAAAACAATAATCTTACTATTTATATGACTGTCTTTATAATTCATGTCAGTATCTCCCCTAGAACTTGTGCAGTATCTTACGATCTGTCATTGCTCTGTAAATTTTGTCGATTAAACAATTCTTTTTTGAAGTTTGTATCAAAAATCGGTAATCGGTGGAAATTGTTAATGATCTATTTATAATTAAATTTACGATCTTTATGTTTAGGTTTTAAAAATTGATTGTTTTATGTACCATTTTTTCAAGTCATCTTCTAATCGCAAGATTAAAATAAAAAGTTCGCCCAACATAAGAATTCTTAATAATTTTTTTCAGTAGAAGTAAACTATTACATTATCATTTAGAGACTTTTTTCACGAAGATGATAAATTCATTGTCAAAATTGTTCTAGTTTACGAGTAAATATGTTTCCTCTAGCGTTCTCGAAACCGGAAGTGGTAACTTCCATTTTAATAATTAGTTTTTTGTATTTGATTCAGTTTTACACACAAAACTAAAATATTGAATTATTTTATTTTTTACAAAATATTTTTAACCAATTTGTTTTATTCTATTATTATATATTGCGTAATTTGTAACTATAGTCATATTTTAAACAAAATTGTAATTATATCAACGTTTATCGACTGACCTATCATTGAATATGTAGCATTCGACTGATATATTATCCATTCACAATGATTATAGGTACATATATGAAGCATAGTCCATAGATGTATATATTATTTATGATTTTTTATGTTTTTCAATTCTATTGGTGCTTATCTCCACAACCCTTGAAACTTAGATTTTCTGCCCTTCAATACTCCGTAATAATGGGCAAAATTATCATTAGAATAGCGTACTCGGGTGTTTACATAGATAGTTTCATTCACACATTTAAACATCTAACGGAATTTGCGTTTTGCTTCTATTTATATTTACTTTTAAAATATATGTGGGCTATATTTGTTAGGGAACGAAAGTATGCTGCAAAAATACAACAAATCAACTGACGACTGAACATAACCTAAAAATTCTACTGCATATAAGAATAACGAGGAATTTTGGTGTTGTAGTCTGTTAAAATAATTTTTCATATAACAAAGTCTAAAAGACTGGACAAGACTGAAGAAAATGATGATAAAAGGAGAATGAGCAAGACATACACAAAATATATGGAAATTTCAACTTGCAAAGACTGTGCCAACACATAAATTGAATACATTTAAATCCCCAGAAGGCCACCAAGACATTGATGGGCATTAGAATCGTCTGGACACCCAAATTAGCAAATTTATATTGAAGATCTCATCAGCAAGAAACTAAGGATAAACTAGTCAACAAAGTAGTAAATAAAAATTAATTCAAGCTTTAGTTGGCAGTTGGTGGAAGACGAAAGTCACGTATGTTGCAAAATAATAGTAAATAAGACTATTTGAATAAAATCCAGTGTTTCCAGGAGTACCGTTTAAATGTTTATTTTCCAATATTCATAGTTTCCAAGTAATATACGAGCT